ATTTTAGGTGCCTTGTTAACCTGGATATGCTCAATGACGAGAGAATCCACATCCAAACCCTGTGTGTGGGGAGAAAATTAAGAAATAGTTAATACCTTGAGTTAAAATTGAATTAAACATGAAATTAGCCTAGATGCTTGGGATCAAACTATTCACAAGAGACATGATACAAATTCAGGTCATTTGACCAAATTACTTCTACTTGTATTATAAAAGACATTATTTAACCTTAAGGACTTGGTTTTCCCCTTTTGTAAAAGGAGGGACCTTGGACTAGACTGATCCCCTCCAGAAACTCAGGCTACCATGTCACTTGATAGCTCAGATAGTGATTATTTTCATTGTTTAATCCAAAGGTGTCCTAAGAGAGTCATCACCGCCATCAAATCCATATCTGCCTTAGTCACAAGCGCAACTAATATTGAGTCTTAACAGCTGGTATTATTTCCAAATAGCATTCATTTGGTATGGATATGTGATGGTTTTAACCTACCTTCAGTTCTGCGTTACTCTCTGCATTTTTAAGCATATGCAGCAAGAATTCAGCACTCTTTTTGGGCCAACGACCCTGTGTCCAACCCCACTGCTTAGCCTGGGGAAAAAAAAAAGAAAAAAGGTCATTGCCATTCTATTTAGCACATTTCCCTGGAAATTCAAATTTGCCCACTTCTCAGAAAATTTGGTTTGTAAGTTGCTCAGCACATATTTCTTTTCATGATTAATCCAAAGGTGTCCTAAGATTGTCATCACAGCAACAAAGGAATGCCTAAAAGAAGCAAACATTATTTAAACTTATTCTACCAAGTTGATTCTTTAAAAGTGATTTTAGAAAGACATTTAACTATTTCCACAAATAAATATTAAGAATTCTGACCTGGGCACACCTGCCAACTCCACCATTATATCGCCTGAAGGGAACACATTGTTTCTTCAATGTGACATCTTTCAAATACTTGGTAGCTTTTCGGATATGCATGCCCTTGATAGCTTGGGCTGTTTCACGGGTGTTCTGTAAAAAAGTCATATTTTAACTAGTGAGTCAAAAGAAGCAGTTTTGAAAAAGGATTATTACTACCTAACATTCTTTGATCCAATGACACTGGCTTATTGGTTGTGTCATTAACAAGACATGCCATCTCTCAGCTCTGGGTATTTTCTCTGGCTGTTTCCCATGCCTAGAATGAATATTCCTCTGCTCCAATTCTATTCCTCCCTAGCTTCCTTTAAGTCCCAAGTAAAATCCCACCTTCTACAGGAAGTCTTTCCTAGCCCTTTAATTCCAGTGCTTTCATCTTGTATGTAGCTTGCTTTGTATGTATTTGTTTGCATACAAGGTTCTTTGAGGGCAGGGCCCAGTCTTTTGTCTCTTTCTGTACCCCTGGTACTTAGCACAGTGTCTTGCACAGAGGCACTTAATAAATGTTTACTGATTGACTGAATATACTATCAACCACAAATAACTGATATTTGATGCATAAATGTGACCCAAAATTTTCTATACATGATTGTTCAGATCATATTTATGATACATTCATTACTACAGTGATACATCAATGTGGCTAATCTAACAGCTGGTTGCAATGCATTATGGATTTTTGTAGATTTCCCTCTCATTTCACTGTTGTAATAATCTGCATTTATGTAGCACAAATTAACTCAAGAGTTTACACAATATGCTTAAAATTAAATACTTAGTGCCAGAACTCAGGTCTATGAAGTAGGGCAACTGAGTTCAGTGTAATGTTTTCACTCTATGACACTTCTCACTTATTTCTTATCTCATTGGTTTTCAATATTTTGGTCAAGATGTAGCACCTAGTATAAAACCCTGGAGACCTCACTAAACAAACAAAAGTGGCTGCTCAGTGTTGTTTCATTTTCATAGTTAATCCAAAGGTGTCCTAAGAAACATCATCATTGCAGCTTCAAATACAGTCCTGATTCCAAGAAACATATACAAGATGAAAAACCACTTTAGAACCTAATCATGATTTATTTTCACATACCTTGAAGTGGACCCGGAGATTTGAACCCCTTGACTTGCATGCTGCAAGATTAAAAAATAGTTCAGATTAGTAGAGGGGGACATTTTACTGTAGCTTATAAATTATAAAAACATTTATATCTGTAGGATGCATTATTGATGTTTAATGTTTGAACACAATGTAAAAACAAAACAAACTAAACACTAAGTTAAAGTATCCTATGTTCACTTACATTTTGTGGGGTTCTCTGGATCAAGAGAGTACCTCACCATTTTAAATGATTACCTAGAAAAAAAAAAGCAACAATTCAGTATTTTTTCTTATACGTACATTTCACAAGACTCCTAAATTAGCACTTGGTAGATATACTGGGGGTGGGGGGAAGAATTACAGGGACATCTAAATAGTCAAAATGAATTTGTGGAAACACAAACTGAAAATCCCAGCATTAATCTAAATGAAGCAGCTGCTCAGAATGTCATTGTTTTCATGGTTAATCCAAAGGTGTCCTAAGAATAGTCATCACTGCAGCCACTTATTCCAAAGTAGAAAAAATACAATAAATGTCTTAATTTTCCTTTACTCACCTATGTATTTCTTCAAGCTCTAAAATTCCCCTAATACCCAACAGTCTTGGGCACACTCCCAATAAATACTACCTGCATGACAAATTCGGACATGCCCTCAGATGTTAGAATCGGAGAAATTTAGGGCAGCTAGGGGGCAGAGTGGATAGAGCATTGGGCCTGCAGTTAGAAAACTCCTCTTCCTGAGTTCAAATCTGGACTCAGACACTTACTAGCTGTGTGACTCTCGGTAAGTGACTTGACCCTGTTTGTCTTAGTTTTCTCATCTGTAAAATGAGCTGGAGAAGGAAATGGCAAACCACTCTGGTATCTTTGCCCCAAAACGAGGTCACAAAAAGTTAGACACGACTGAAAAAACTGAATAATTTTGGTTCAACTATCTTAAGGTTTACAGTCAGTCACACTGGTCCAACCCAACCCGTTCCTTTTACAAGGAAAACCAGGGCCCCGAGAAACATCAATTTCGTTATCTCAAGCCACCCTGCTGTGAAAGGTCCTCCCCACAACATTGCTAAGGTCCAGTAACCCAGCCAGGGGTCGCCTTCACCCGCCTCCTTCCTTTACCTCCCTCCGCGTCCCACCCCGACGGCAGAGAACGAAGCCTTGCCTTCCTCCACGCGGCAGGGACGCAGAGACCTGCGGAGCCGCGGTGCCGAGCCAGGGACCTCGGCTGCTCCCGGGAGGCTCCGGAGCTCGCGGGGACACCGAGGGCGGGGGCAGAGACGGAGGCCCGGGCACGGGGAGGGGGAGGGGGTGACCGAGGGCGCGCTCCGCTCCTCTCCCTACCCCCTCCCTCCCTCCCCCGGCCGGCCTCCCGCCCGCAGCCGGAGGCAAATGGGAGGCCAAGGCTTCTCCCAAATCCCCGCACCGGAACCAGACCCATCGGGAGATAAATGGACGGCCCCGAAGGAAGCCTCGGGTTTGCCCTCCACGGAGGCCTTCAGTTCGGCCAAACTGAGGGGCCGATGCGGGCGATACCAAGCGGATTGGAGACGTGGCCCAGAAACCAGCTTCACTCACCTAGGACGGGTCAAGGGAAGAGGAAGAGCAAAGACTTTCGGGAGACTTGAAGAAAACTCGGCTATCTCGCGAGAGTTCTAGTTCCCGGGACCAGAGGGCGGAGGCGGGGAGAAGAGGGGGAGGGGAAAGGGAGGGTGGAGAATGTTTTTAAAAGTCCTAGGACCTAAAGTGGTCGGAAGGGAGTATGTCAAAATTGCCCTTAAAAAAAAAAAGCGACAAAAGAAAACCAAAAAACAAGCACCCCCCTCCAAAACGAAACCCCCCGAACATAAAACCAAGAACTAAAGGGAGGGGTGTGTGTTGTTGGTTGGTGTTGATGCTTTTTTTTTTAATTCTGGTTGGGAAGAGAGCCAACTTTCCTAAAAAATATAAACATTTTAAAAGTAGGAGGTTGAAAAAAACCATTAAGTACGTTTCTCTAGGGCTGAGATTCTTCACCATGGTTCCATGACCTGGTAGATTTTGGAGGGGAGGGGAAGGAGCAATGAATTTAGATAAAAAAATAAAAAAACCTACTCTTATTTTCAATAACCTTTGGTTTCCCTTGCAATCCTATTCATTTTATTTTATACATTTAAAAACATTATTATTCAGTGCTTAGCACAGTGCCAGGCACACAGTAGGCATTGAATAAATTAGGTTTATTGAATTGAATTATTCTGAGAAGGGTTCTGTCTTTACCAGAAGGAGAAAGGTATCCATGAAACAAAAAGATTAAGAACCTCTTTTCTAGGGGACTTTGCTTTGAAGAGGCAGATTGGCATTGAGAGCCAATATTGAAGTCTGGAAGATCTGGGTTTAAGTTCTGCAATTGGCACATACTTGTGGCTTGATGAGTACCCCAGGCCATTCTGAAACTATTAAATCCTGATTTTGGCTAACTATGGGTGGAGGGAGTTTCCATGCCCAAGTATTCATCACAGACTAAAAGAGAGAATTGGAGCAAATTAAATAATATCTTTACAACTAAATAGCGTTAAGTTTTTTGTTTTGTTTTGTTTTGTTTTGTTTTAAAGGATGATGTAGGGGCAGCTAGGTGGAGCAGTGAATAGAGCTCTGGCCTTGAAGTCAGGAGGACCTGAGTTCAAATCCAGCATCAGACACTTAATACTTAACTAGCTGTGTGACCTTGGGCAAGTCACTTAACCCCCGATTGCCTCAC